TCTTTAATCCCAGGATTTGGGAGACAGAGACAGCTCTCTGTTAGTTCAAGGCTACCCTGGGCTACACAAGATCGATCCAGAAACAGATCTAGGTGGCGGCTGCTCACATTTTTAATCCCAGCACTAGGGAGGTGGAGACAGGAGCGGTATGACTGGGCAGAGAAAGAAATACAAAGGGGGAAAAGACAGAAACTCACTGAAGTGTGGAGTCTGAGGTTTGGTGGAGACAGTGCAGTCTAGACAGTCTAAGGATCACCCTTCGGTCTGAGCACTGGTAGACTCTTTAATGGCTTATTGCTCTGTTTTGTTTCTCTAATCTTTAGCATTAACCCTATATCCATCTCTGGGTTTTTAATATTTGTGCTACACTGTGTCCCTTATTTTCACTCAACTTTTGTTGCTCTTTTGGAATTAATCTTACTAGTTTTAAATGTGTTTCCTTTAGTCAGGTGTGGTGTTCAGGAAGCAGAGGAATACTAATCTCTATGAGTTGTAGGTCAGCCTGGTCTACATAGCTAGTTCCAGAGCACCTAGGACAAATGATGAGTCCCTGCCTCAAAAAACAAAACAAAACAAAAATGTGTTTTTTCTTTTAAGTCTTGACAGATTAGGGGTACAACTCAAAAGGAGAGTGTGTGTTTAGTAGTCACTAGTGTCTGGGTTCAACTGCAGAACCCAAACAAAATCCCACACCTAAAAATCCTATACATTGAGAGATGGTTGCAGAAAACCTGAATCTGACTCCCTGCACCAGAATTGGGTTGCTGACAACCACCTACTGCAGCTGCAAGCAATCCTACACATCTACACTTCTGGTTTCTGTACACACATGCACACCCCCACACAGGCATGCACACACACATTCATTATTAAAAAGAAAAAATAAATATTTAGAAAAAAATCTACCTGCAAACTTTGATGACATTCTTGCTTCAAAATGTAACTTAAATCATTCTTAAGGATCCAAATCAGTTTTACTGTCATTTTGACAAAACAGAATGCAATACTTAAAAGTACATAGTGAACTAGGGCTGTCATCTGTGGACTACTGAAGGGTGTGTAAGGTATCAGTGGCTGAAAAATCAATATAAAAATTCACCGGAAGGGATAACCAGAGGTAGCAAAGTTGTCCTGAGAACTTGCTTCAGCAGAACATTCCATCTTTTTATCATACATTTAAATAATGGATAGTCTTGAACTGGCACTATGCTCAGTACTCACAGAACAGCAGCTTAGTAACTGATAATTACTATGTGAGTAATGTTATACACATTCTGTGAATGTCTTCTATAAAAGTAAGCAAGTATGCTGGAGTTGTCAAAGCTTTTTAGGCTTCAGCCTCCACTCTCTCCAGCCTTACCTGCTCGCTTTGTTCCAGCATAGTGACCTAAATCCTCCATCACCAATATGCCAGCTACATTAGGCTTCCATATTTCTGTTCATATTCTTTCCTCTGTCTCTCTCCCCCATCTTGTCACCAATACTTATCATCCAAAGGCCAACTTATGTAAAGTATTTCCTGACCCATCTCTGGGTAGAAAAGATGGTTGCCTCAGTAGGGCCTGTCTGAATTCTTTGTTTGTTTTTCGAGACAGGGTTTCTCTGTGTAGCCTTGGCTGTTCTGGAACTCACTCTGTAGATCAGGCTGGCCTCTGCCACCTAAGTGCTGCAATTAAAAGCATGCAAAACCACTAGCCAGCCTGTCTGAATTCTATTATCAACCTTTAATACCGTTTTAGATTTTTTTGCTCATAGAGATTCTCTATGTAACAGGGATGTTTCTAAACCCTTAAAATCAAATATTAGAACTTGTTAATCTCTGTACTAAGTTTACTTAAAACTGTACAACTGCAGCTAGACAAAGTGGTGCACACTTTGATCCCAGCACTTGGGAGGCAAAGGCAGGCAAATCTCTAAATTCAAGGTCAGCCTGGTCTACACAGAATGAGTTCCAACTAGGGTTACATAGAGAAACCCTGTCTCAAAAAACCAACAAAACAAAACACCAAAACCAACAACTAACAAAAACTGTACATTTGATAGATATTCAGTGAGTTTCTATGTAGGCACAAATGAATTAACCAACTGAAGTACTTTTTATTTAAAATGTTAATATATAGGGCTAGAGATAGGGTCCAACAGTTAAGAGCAACCATGTGGATATTCACAATCAGCAATATCTAGTTTCAGAGGATCCAATTCCCTCTTCTGGGCTCTGTGAAAGCAAGGCATACACATGACATATTTGCAAGCATGACACTCATACACAAAGAATAAAAATTCAGTTTTAAAATGTTATTTCCTAGCTCTGGTGTGCTTTTGTGTAGCAGGGTAATTGCAGATGATGATTATACACTGTATATTAAAAAGCTAGATGGGGGCTACAAAGATGACTCAGAAGTTAAGAGTGCACACTGCTCTTGCAGAAGACAGGAGTTAAGTTCCCAACTCCCACGTGGGCTCATGAGCACTTGTAACTCCAGCATTTGCCTCAGACCTCTAAGAGTACCTGCATCACCAGACACCCCCCAACTCATAATTAAAAATAAAAACAAATCTAAAAAGGAAAAAGCTAAAGAGAAAGATTTCCAATGTTTTCACCATAAAGATGAGAACTATTTGAGGAGGTAGATTTATTTATCCCGACTTAAACAGTGTACAATGCAAATATATATCAAAACAGCATGTGTACCCCTTAAGTATGTATGATTTTTTCCATTTTTATATTATCTGTTAAAAAACATCCAAAGTTTGTAAGAAGTTTATAGACAAGACTGTAGCTGCTGAATAACATCAGTAAGACAATGGATGACTACTAGTGCAGTGACAGCAGGCTTTCTCAGTTCAGATGAGAAAAGACCCTGGAGAGGACACAGGAGAAAGGACAACAGGGGAGGTAAAGCATCTGTGTCTCCTTCCTCGTCTAAATGCTGAAAGAAGAGAAAAAAAAAAAGCAGCAACAAAGACATAAAATCACAAAAACCACTGTATCCAGGAAACAAAAACAGTCTTCTACAGTGGTGGCACAGACCTTTAATCCCAGCACTCGGGAGGCAGAGAGGCTGGCAGATCTCTGTGAGTTCGAGGCCAGTCTGGTCTACAAGAGCTAGTGCCAGGACAGGCTCCAAAGCTACAGCGAAACCCTGTCTTGAAAAAAACAAAAAACAGTCTTCTAGAAGAGCAGCGGCAAAGTTGATACAGGGTTTGCCTAGTATGTGCCTAGTTTGCCTTGGGTTTAATGCCAGCACCACCAAATAAGATAACTCAAGACGAGACTTACACAGGGATTTACTATGGGACAATGGTCTTTATAGGTCTACCCTATAAAGATGTGTCACTTGTATGATTGGCCAGTATCCAGGCAGGAAGTATAGGTGGAGCAATCAGAACAGGAGAATTCTGGGAAGAGAAAAGACTCAGTCTACAGTCATCACCCAGATGCAGAGGAAGCAAGATGAGAATGCTTCACTGATATAAGGTACCAAGCTACATGGCTAACATAGACAAGAATTATGGGTTAATTTAAAATGTAAGAGTTAGTTAATAAGAAGCCTGAGCTAATAGGCCAACCAGTTTATAATTAATGTAGACCTCTGTGTGTTTCTTTGGGACTGAATGGCTGAACCAGGCAGGACAGAAACGTCTGCCAACAGTAATTCTGTATTAAACAATACTGACTGAAAGACTGAAATTAAGCTGTGTTTTATTTATCCATTTATCTATCTATCTATCTATCTATCTATCACTTACTTATTTATTTATTTATTTATTATACACATGCCATAAGAGGGCACCAGGATGTCATTACAGATGGTTGATAGCCACCATGTGGTTGCTGGAAATAGAACTCAGGTCATCTGGAAGAACAGCCAGTGTTCTTAACCTCTGAGCCATCTCTCCAGTCCCCTGAAATTAAGTTTTGAAGGGGTCTATAGTTCACTAGATGCCACAGGAGCAGATTCAGCAAAGTGACTTGTTAAATTAGAACACAAATGTGGGCTGGAGCAGTAAGGACTGCCCACTTAAATCTTCAGTTGCTAATCCTAATAACTAACTTCACACAAAATGAATCAAATATCAGTATCAATCTGAATGCCAGTGCATTTTATGAGTGTATATGTGTATGGTATTAGGGACCAACTTGGGCATCAAGCATTGAAGGCAAGCACTCTACAACTGAGCTACGTCCCAGTCTCAGTACTAGTGTATTTTAAAAGAAATAGCTAAAACAAGAATGCAAAAAAATGTTATTATGAACATATTTGCGTTTCTAAAAGGATGTAGAAAATTCGGGGTTGCAGAGATGGCTCGGTATTAAAAGAGGACATAGGTTTGGTTCCCAGAACCCATCTAGCAGCTAATAGCCATCTTTAACTCCAGTTCCAGAGGATTAGACAGCCTCCACCGGCACTACATACATCAGCACAACAGACACATATGCAGGTGAAACACCCATATACAAGAAATAAAAATGAATTGTCAGGCATGGTAGCAAATGTCTTTAATATGAGCACTTAGGAGGCAGAGCTAGACAAGTACTTGTGAGTTCGAGGCCAGCCTAGTTTACATAGTGAGTTCCAGGACACCCAGATTTATGTAGAGAGACTCTTGTCTCAAAAAACAAAACAAAAACACAACACAATTAAGTCTATTTTTAAAAGAAATGCTGAATTATAAAATTTATTTTTTAATCCCCCCCCACCCAATCTGTAAGAGTGTTTGCCTACATGTTCATATCTATACCACATATGTCTCTGGTGCCAGAGGGGATGAGAAGAGGGCATCAGGTCCCCTGCAACTTGAGTTACAGACAGTTATGAGTCAGACTGTGGGTGCAAGAAACTGAAGCCAGGTCCTCTCGAAGAGCAGCCAGGGCTCTTAAACACTGAAGCATCTCTCCAGCCCTTAAATAAATCTTCTTTTAAAAAAAGAATTCAAGAAAGAAGTCTTCCCATATACTTTAAAAAAAAATGAAATGAATTACTAAAGATAAAACTTACCTTTGACAGTGTTCTGGGGCAACACAAGCCCGAGACGATCAGTCTAGGTTACATTCAGTGCAAAGAGCCAAAACCCTGAAAAGAAAAAACTGGAAATGAACCATACAGACAACGTAAGCTGCCTAGAGTAGTAGCAGAGTAGGCAATTTCCTATGAATCCACTCTTCCGTTTACAGTTTGTGGGCAGTGGCCTAACTCTGCAAACGTCTTCCTCAAGGCTTCTTTCAAAGTTAAGTAAAAAAAAAAAAAAAAAAAAAAAAAAAAAAGTAAACTGTAAACTGTACATGTAACACAAAATGCTGAACACTCATTCAATAAAGGGCAAATTGTGATTAGAAACGCAAAGGCTGGGGAGAATCTCCCTGGTGCAGCACTTGCCTAAGGTGTGAGGTTCTGGTGCCATCCTATCAACGCATGAAACAGAACAGTTTCTGAAATGGCAACAAAATCTGTGTTCACTCTTTACTATTTTCTTTTTAAACAGACTAAGTTTTTGATTATGTGTTTACATGAATGAGAAAAAGCATGTTTACATGAATGAAAAAAGTGCTCATGTGGAGGTAAGAGGATAATTTTCAGAGTTAGTTCTCTCCTTCTATCTTGATGTAGGTTCCAATTAAACTCAGCTTGTTAGGTGAGCACCTTTATGTGCTGAGCATCTCTTTTTTGGTTTGTTTGTTTACTGATAGCATTTCCCCATATGAACCACAATAATGACCATCATGGCATAATAACCTGAGGGTTCAATAGTAGCATGCATACCTTGGCAGTAACCAATAGCCTGTTAATTTTAAGGCATGGCCAACAAAAGGAAAAGTCATACCTGGTACTGAAAACGAAGCCAACTACCTGGAGTTACTAAAGTCATGGATCTTGGAGAACCTACAACTGCCATTTTACTAAACAAGCATAAACCCTCCTACATTCTAAATATTTATCCTATACCCACAAGTAAATATACTTCTCACTCCTCATCAAAGAAACTTTTCTTTGCAACTGATGGAAACCATTATAAGAAAAACACAACTAATCAAAATGTAGAGAACAAGACAAGTGATGCCCATTCCCAACTGATACAGTTACAACACAATTCTTGTACCTAAGGCTCAGGTCTCATTTCAGAAGAGGGGTTGGAAAGATTGTAAGAACCAGAAGAACAGGAAATTTGTTTTGAGAGTGCTTCTTCTAGAAATGTCAGAGAGGCTACACCCCTTAAGTCTCATCAACATGAATGCCTAAAGGTCTGCACCATGATGACACCAATGGTCACACTAACAGGGAGTGGGGAAAGCTTTGGGAGTCTCAACTCTAGACAAAGAGTTATGGGCAACTGGGGAATGCTGAGCGTAGGAGAAATGATCTTCCCCTAGGAAGAGCTCCATATAATACCAAGTGACCACCCTGAGATCATATACATATACAGATAGCATTATATGTACTAAGCAGATTGTATTTATGTATTTAAGAACACATACATACACACATGCAGTAATAATTAAAGATACAGAAGTCATAAATTTGAGAGCAGGGGGCATGCACAGATTGAGGGGGAAAAAGAGAAGGTGGGAAATAATGGAACTGTGTTATAATTTCAAAGAATAAAAAATGATTTTAAAAAGACAGTGCTTCCCTATACAGCCCTGGCTGGCCAAGAATTCACAATCCTGTTTCAGTCTGTCTAATGCTAAGATTACAGGCATACCACAATGCACAAATCATTACTATTTCCTATTTTATTTATCCTATCTCCCTCAAAAATTGTCCTTTCAATGTCTTCATCTGAATGTCTCATAATCACCAGACTCAACTGGACGCAAACTCTACCTTCACCCTGTCTAGACTATTCCTCTCCTTCTTCACTGTCTTTACCAAGACCCAGATGAGAACCTACATTCATTTCAAGTAATCTCACCCTTCCCAAGGCCTTCATACAAGTCCATCAATAAGTTCTGCTTTCAATTTTGCACTTCAGATCCACCCACAATTCTTCATTTTCACTGTCATTACCTCTTCTCAAAGACTCTGTTCCACTCTTGCTCCTCCCCAATACACTGCCAAATAATGGTTGGCATGGTCTCTTCAGTTTAGTTCATTACTAGGAGCTAGTAAATGCAGTGGTGACTATTTCATGATGACAAGTCTTTCTCCTACTCAGAATGCAACTATTGTGTGTGTGGAGAAGGGCAAAACAAGGGCTAATCCAGGCTATCAGAAAACTGTCTTCACCTGGAAGTTGTCCACTTTGTTTCACAACCAACCATGTGCTCTGTCTATGAGAAGACAGCCATTCCCCATGGTTATACACTATAAGGGGTCGCTTTAGGACCCCAGTATATCACAGTGGTTGAAGTAGTACTTTACCGAATGACCGTATCTAACGTCACCTCTTTTTACTGTACTTAACAACTGTTTGAATCAATGCACCAATAAATTATTACTCTCACACTTCTGTTATACACACTGTTGTTACAACAATCTCAAAAGCAAATTTGACCTGTGTGTATGCTATGGCTTAAAATGAGTAAGTAAGTATCTATTACCTTTAGTGCAGATTTTTAAAAGAGAACTGGCTAGATCCATTTCTCCACTGTGCAATCCAATTTGCATCTGTCCACCACACACAAACTAATTGCTGCTGAAGCCTTTTGCTGATTCTCTTCCTCTCCTTTGCCACTGGTGTCCCCTCCAGAACTTTCCTAGATTTTCCTCTGAGATAGATATATTGTATTATACTGGTAATATACAGGAGTCTGCTTTCTTTTCCCAACATGAGCTCCCTGACAGCAAGGATTAAGTTTTATACATCTTTTAACTTGGTGAGCAGACATCCAACAAATGTGCTGAAGTGAACTCCAAGAATTTAATGTTGGCAGTTCCCCATCAAATGGCACTAAAGAAAGTTAAAGCAGATGGCTGCACCTCTCCAGACAGATTTGGTCTTCCTGGGAGACTCAGGGCTACATAGTTACATGTGACCCTTGCCACTTCAGAGAAGGGTCAGATTCTTAAGTTTGTTGTCACCCTTTAATTCTCAAAAGAACAACACTGTCTCATTTTAACTCTCTATTCTGATTTAAGTTTCACCCAGACTGACTCATTACTTCTCTCTAGATCAGTCCAAACTCTACACCAGTGTCACAGTGTTATCTCTCAACAGACAACTTTAGGTGGAGATGGTAACCAACAAGGTCCTTTGCCTGTTTTGCTGTCATCTTGGATACTTGCTGACACTTGGTGAGGACAAAAAAGACACTGTGTGTGACAGAGAACAGACGAGCAAGGGAAACAGGTAATTTTCCAGGTACATTCTTTTTCTTATAAGGGATAGGGCATCTTTGCACTCCTAGGCTCAAGTGACTGTGCCACCTCGGCCTCCCAAATAGCTGAGATTACCTGTACGTTCTGCCATGCCTAGAGTGCAGGTATTCTCCAACTGGGTTTCTTAAAAAAGCTTCTTTACTTGATCAAAATCAAGCATATGTAATGATTCTAAAACCAACAGTGTAATTTACCTACAGCAGTATTTCCCTTCTCGGAGATGAATACCAGGAAGATTCCTTCAAATGACTTATTTTAAAATGTTCAGAAGTAATCTAATTCTACCACCTGGTCACACACTGTCATGGTGGCAAGTTACCAACCACTGCAGTTTCCTCTCTCTTAAGGAGCAACTAGAGTAATCTTGGGACCTATAATGACAATCTGTAAACCTCAGACTAATCCATTTTCAGGTCTTATTAAACTGAAATAGACTATAGTCAAGTATTTAACTAAACTTGCACGATATAATTACAGCTAAGTGTTTCCTAGAGAATATGGCAAGGTGAAAGACATATATATTCAACAAATGACACTTTTCTACTACCACCACTAATATGACAGGGTTTTAATTTTCAAACTTACCTATTCAGTGTGATTCAATTTAATTTTCATTAAAAAAATTCAAGCAGCACAGAAAAAGTCCTTCATCACTCCAGTACAGCCTCTCTCCTCACCACCCTTCTTAGTTCTCACTGCTGTCACCAGCATATTTATCTAGTAATCTGGAAATGCAACCTGCTAAGGAATATACTATACTCCAGCACTGTCAAAACAGAGCAATAAAAGCACCCAAACAAAAATGCCAAAACAACAAAACACTACACATTTTTGTTACTATATATTAGTTTATTTTCTGAGACAGGGTCTCACATAGCCCAGGCTGGCCCCACCTCCCTCTATCGGGGAAAATGACTTGAATTTCTGATCCTTCTGGTTCTACCTCCAAGGTGCTAGGGATTGAACCCAAGACTTCATTTTGTTTTCAGAAGCAGGGTTTCTCTGTGTAACCCTGACTGTACTGGAACTTGCTCTGTAGACCAGGCTGGCCTCAAACTCCATCCACATGCCTCTGCCTCCCAAGTACTGGAATAAAGGTATGTACCACCACCACCTGGCTGAATCCAGGACTTTGTATGTACTAGGCAAGCATTTTACTGAGTGAGCGATATCTGAAACGCCTTATTTTTGCGGGTTGCTTTTGTTTGTTTGGTTTTTGTAGGGATAGGGGTATGAAAGACAGAGAGTCTTCCTATGTAGCTCAGACTAACCTCAAATATCCCTGCTTCATCCTCCCAATTACCAGGATTACGGGCCTGTGAAACAAAACACTTTAATTGAGACATAGATGAACAATGAAAACCCTGACTGCCTACATTGACAGCAACTGGCTATCAAGCTGTCCAGGGGGCCGGTCTGTGGCTTCGTAGGCCTTTAATCCCAGCACTCAGGAGACAAAAGTTGATCTAGTGCAGGTCTTACAGAGGCAGCCAGAGTCGCTATGATTTATGAGTGCAGTGGTATTGTAATGTCCACAAGGCATCATTTTGCACCAGTCTCTTAAAAATTTATCAACTCGCCTGATGGTGGTGGTGCACACCTTTAATCCCAACACTTGGAGGCAGAGGCAGATGGATCTCTGAGTTCAAGGCCAGCCTAGTATAAAGAGAGAGTTCCAGGAAACCTAGAGATACACAGAGAAAGCCTGTATTGAAAAACAAAAACAAACGCACAAAAAAAGATGTCCAGAGGTGGTA